GACCACAGATTTTATTTTGTTACAAAAACAAAATTAAAATCTGATTAAATAAACAAATAAAAACAGAATTAAATTAAACAACTTACTTGGTTAATTTATTTGAATAACTTTTCTGATCAAGTCCAGTGTTTAATACTGTGTCCTTAAGACAGATTCGTCCTCTCCACGGTGCTTTCAGAATTTGGACGTCTATCTCCCAGGATGAAATGATCTACCACAAACAATAGCAGCACTACTAATTGTTTGCCTTACGAACACACTTAGTGTTTACACTCTTTTTTTTTTGAAAATAAAATGCAGCAAGATGAAGAATAGAATTAACAGAGGTGAAATACGAAATTTCTGAATGAATAACATCAAATGAGGGTGGTCCTATTTATAGATGTGAAGGTGGCTCTTCATTTTGAATTAAACAGGTATGTATCTCTTGGTTTTGAATTGAACAGGTATGATACCTGTTGGTTTTGAATTCAAACAGATAGCAAAACGGGAAGGGCCCTGTTTGGGTGTGCACTAATTCCAAACTAGTTTATTTCTGTTTGAAAACGGGAAGGGCTCTGTTTGGATGAGTAATAAATCCAAACCAGTTTAATTCTGTTTGAAAACGGGAAGGGCCCTGTTTGGATGAACAAAAAATCCAAACTAATTTAATTTTAGAAGCCCAACCCAACCACACACCACACACCCGCGCCCAACCGGACGGACGGCGGCGCGCGTGTGGTGATTTTTGGGTCCAATGGGTCTAGCCCAATTTGCCCATAACCTCTCCCTCTAAAACACTTGGGTACCCCTTGGGACACACCCCAAGTATCTCACCCTAAGCCTTATAAACCCTTTCAAAACTTCCCACCAAATCAACGTGGGACAAGCCAATTTACAACCTTAAGGAATTTCCACCAAAACTCCATTTCCATGGAGCACACTTTGGCTTCAATTTCCCATTCATTCGGTAATGGTTTTGAGCAACCAAATATACCACGTGAATCACAACGCGGCATAGAACGCGTTACCACTTTGACCCGAGTAAATTGACACTCGGGGCCCACCTAAAAAATAGACCAAACTTGAAGAAAAATTCTGGTTTTACCCAGAATTTTTCTACCATTTCCAACAGAAACTACTGGATATGATAATTGACTCAGTGATCTATGTAATTGTTTTCTGAAACAGTAAAAAAGTCAAAAATTCAAGATTTTAAGTTGATAGAGTGACTTCAGTCCCTTCATGATATACAATTTATTGTAAGTTAAAAGCTCAAAAAGTACAATAAAAAGCATCCCCTATCAATTTTCAAATAATTTTTTTCAATTTATTTAAGTTATTTTTACTTGTTAAATTGTAAGTAAAAATTACACTAAATAATCTAGTATAGACTCAAAAAAAAAAAAAAAGTAAATAAATTTATTACATTAAAGATAAGTACAAAAAAAAATTTTGAAAAGTTTAACACACTACTATTATCAGAATATATTTAATGACTAATTTAATATTTTAAATTTTAAAATTATATAACTTTTAATGTATATATTATTTTTTTTTATAAATTAATATTTTAGAATCCCCTCGTCATAATCTATCCAATAAGATTTATTTGATTATGAAATTCTTTAAAAAATAATAATAATAATAAAATTTTATTCTTCAAAATTAACGTATACAGTAAAATTTTATTCTGATTCACAATAAAATTTAACATAAAATTCTAACTTTAAAATAGTAAAATGTCACCATCATCACTAAACACCATTGTGACCATAATTATTAATAAATAATTACAAAAACATAACTTTAACAAAGTAAAATGAAATAATACCTTTAACAAAGTAACATTTTATTGTTAATTTAAAATAGAGTATCAACAAATAAATACTAGATTACATATTATTATAGCAAATAAAAAATTATCTCCATGGCTCAAAAGAGAGAGTGTGAAAGCCAAATGTGAGTGTTCTGTTCAGATTGGAATTCATATCCAATGAAGCCTCTATGCATTAGCAAATTTTCTACAGAAAGATTAGTCTCAGATTATCTAAATTTTCAAAATGCATCTAAACAAAACTAGGCATATTTTTGACAAAACGACAAGTAAAATGCATCTAGATAAAACTAAAACAAAATATCAGAATAGTCAAACATGCATAAAACACAAATGAGTAAATAAAATAGTTGCAAACATATATTAGTGAGCCAACTCCAATAGATTAACGGTCATTTATTCCATTTTCACAATGTGGCCGAATTTACTTCTCAACTTGACAATTTCACAATTACAGATATGGTACAAAAGGAAAACTCCGTCATGAGAATATGGACTGAAATTTTCACCTTGAAAATTCAGACATTAGGAGCCTCAATAGAAGTTTCAATCTCCTCCTTCCATTTGTTCCTCGTTCTTGTGGAAACAGGCATATCTCGGTCTTGAATCATAGGTCGGTCACTGTTCTTCTTTGAGAACTGTGTGGCAGCTGCTTGGGCACCAGCTATGGCTGCACTGAGACTCGGTCGTTTCTCAGTCTCAGATGCTTTGGAGCCATTTGAGTTGGATGCAAGTGATCCCGGCTTCAATGAGAAAGGATCTCGTGGATTCGGAAGTGGGAACTTGACAGGCAATGGAGCTTTAACCGGACAAAGACCTCTGGCTGCAGCCTCATATATCTGTGCAGATTTCCAAGAGGAAGAGTAAGGTTTAAGTAGTCTAAGAGCATCTCCAATCCTTACTTCTTTTTTTCATCAAATTTGAGAGAAAAATTTGGTTAAAAGCTTTGATCTGATAAAGAATACTCCAATCCTTGCTCTCTCTTTTTTCATCAAATCTTTTTAAAAATCTCAAAATTTATCTTGAAAAAATGTTTTAACCAATTTTTATGAAAGCAAACCATCTCCAATCCTTACTCTTCTAAAATTTCATCAAATTTATGTATAAATGACTATTGGGAATTTGGTGAAACATTTGGTTCATCCTTGATTTGGTGAAAAAATTGCCTCTCCCTCAATTTGATACAAATTTGGTAATATGGTTGGCCACACTATTTTTCATCAAATTTGAAGTTGATGAAGGATTGGAGATACTCTATGCAAAAATATCCAATGGAACATTAAGAAAGAGGAAACCAATACAGAAATATGATACGTTTGTTTCCCTTTTACCTTCTTCTCCAAGTTATAAACACCTTGGAAGCCACGCATTTCAAATGGTACTATCAATTTCTGCATTGAGGACAATAATCACTTCAACATATTGAAAACACGCAAAAACCAAAAACAAAAAACAAACCATCATGTAATTCTATGTAATGAAAACTACCAAGTAATAGTGGATAGAAAATACAAACCTGTGGTTGCTCACAAAGCCAGCAATAATCTGTTTGGCCCTCTAGCCTAACCTGTACATGAAAAAAGTCAAAATTTCACATAGCAGACATGTTACCAATATTGAATCATAGACATTTTTTCATCAATATCCATAGATATGAAAAGTAAAATTTAGATGCCCACCCCTTCAGGGAGCTCCTCCCAGCAAACTAGCTCTTCACGTGTAACACAACCAACCACTTCAACACAACCTAAATCAAGAAATAAAATTTTTGGATTGGCCATAGTATTGCATCAACTTAAATATCTCTACACAAAACTGTAGAAACGCACACACGAAGTTCAGGTCAAACAAGGAAAAACTGTACTGTGACTGCAAATTGCAATAAAATCGTAGTTGAGAGAGCAATTTATGTCTAAATAAGGCCGAGCTAAGGCCATCTATTGCATGGACCAAGCTAGGTTCACTCTTGGTCATTGGGCCGTGCTGCGGCCGGAAATGAGAATGGATTAAGCTCGGTTGTGGACTGGACGGGTATTCGGCCCAAGGCTTGAACCGAGGTGGTTATATCAAAGCAGGACCGGGGTACGATGGTGTGGGGTTCCGGAGTGGTTATCTCGGTTAAAGACTGCCTTGGTTCTATCTGGCCTAGGGCAAGGCCTTCGTCGCTCAGTTGAGCTGCTACCGAGCCGAGGTAAGAAGGTTTGGGCCATCTCATTTGGTTGGTAGTGAGAATGGTGTCATCGGGATAGGTATTATCCTAATGAGTATGATTCCTAAGAGGACTCTGCCGAGAAGAGTTGGAGTCCTACTAGGATTGTGCCGAGCAAAATCTACAAAAACTCATGCAGGACCTATGTACAGGTATCACAATTTTTACTCTCAAATACACAGAACTTTTGTCTATTGTCTATTTGCTGACTTACGCATCGGAGAGGTTTCCGGCACACACCCGCCGGCTAGCTCATGTCTGTGTTTTCAGGTAACAAAGCGACGACGTTCGAAGGAGTGCAAACTTGATCAACAGGATTATACCAGAAGATTATTTCGTGCTCGTACAATTGGCGCCGTCTGTAAGAATTACAATCATAAAGGACGAACCTCTTGATTAAGTATTCTTTCAACTTAATTCAATGGCGCACAATAAAGACTTGCCACACTCTGCCATTGATGGGCAAACCCCGGAGGGGGGTAGAAGGCGCGAAGACTTACCTTTTATCCTGCCCATGGCAGAATTAGATCCCCAGCGACGAAACCCGCGGAGGGATACCCGTGAAAGACGGGGCTCCAATCCTTGTCGCTCCTAAAGCCCTGAAAGACAAAGGCGAAGGTTGGATCCTCAGGCCTAGAAGATCGGGTAAGGGAGCAAGACGAATTGATACGGAGGATGGCGGCCGACATGGAGACAATGAAGTGCCAGATAAAGGACAAAAGGATGGCAACGGAAGAGGGGCGCAGAGGCAACACATGCTCTTACCACTCAAAAGATCGTGACAGACAGGTCACACCATCACAAGCTGAAAGTAGAAGCCTCAGGACAGGCGATACACAATCAAGGACTTCCAGAACTCGTTACTCCCGGTCTGAGAGAACGAGACTGAAAGATCTTACACGGAAGGAAGCAGTTATCGGCCCTCGCACACGCACCAAACGACATCCAGGCACACGAAGTTGCCTGGGTCGACAGACCTATGTATAGTGCTAGAGGAGAGGGCCCAATGGAAGGAGGTCACCCAGGCTCGCGACCCTCATAGAGTTTCAGCTCTACAGCGATTGGCTCCTATGACACATGGGAGTGTCGAGGTAGGGATGCCAATACCACGCCTTGCTTACGAACCAGCAAATAAAGTGTAACCAAGGTTGCAGAGCTCACCATTCGTTCCGGCAATTGAGAACGCACCGTTACCCTCAGGCTTCCACGAGCCCAAATTCACTACTTATGAGGGGAAGTCAGACCCCTACATGCACTTAAGCCGCTTTCGCCAGGTTATAGCCGTGTATCGATGAAACGAGGCCCTAATGTGCATCTTATTTCCTTCCAGCCTTGGTGACTTAGGTCTAACATGGTTTGAAAGGTTGTCAGAAGGTAGCATAGCTTCATGGGCACAGTTGGCAGAGGCATTTGTGACCAGATTCAGAACAAACACCAAGACGCCAATGGAGATTGACCAGCTACTCTCCATTGACATGGGCGAACACCATTCGTTCCGGCAATTGAGAACGCACCGTTACCCTCAGGCTTCCACGAGCCCAAATTCACTACTTATGAGGGGAAGTCAGACCCCTACATGCACTTAAGCCGCTTTCGCCAGGTTATAGCCGTGTATCGATGAAACGAGGCCCCACAAACCTCCATTGACCAGCTACTCTCCATTGACATGGGCGAAAAGGAAACGTTGAAGTCTTACAACAGTCGATATTGGGAGACTTTCAATCAGATTGGGGATTGCCCCACAAACCTTGCCATCGCACAGTACAAACGGGGTTTACCGACAGGTAACAAGTTGAGGGATTCAATGACAATGATGCCACCCCTCACAATGGAGGCCCTAATGGAGAGAGTACATCAGCACATCCGGGTAGAAGAAGATAGCGCCCACGCTAAAGCAAAATCTGGCACCACAGCGATGCCAGATAGAAAGACTGTAGCAAAAGTCAACACGGTAGAACAACCAAGCAAGAATGGGCGAGGAAGACGAGCCAATAGAGAGGACAAGCAAGGAAGTTGAGAGTCCGCACTGCCATTACCACGATATTCAACAAACCTATCTACCGAATTCTTAGCGAGATACATGACGAACCCTTCGTTCGGCTGCCAACCAAGTTGGGAGAAGCACAGAGGGGCTACAATAAGAGGTATCGATGCACCTTCCATGATGAAAAGGGGCACCGAACTGAAAATTGTACACCGTTGAAGCAACATCTGGCGGAGTTAGTGGCCGCTGGTCACCTAGACCAGTATATAGAAGGAGGAACAAAGCCGACCCCCCAGGACCGCAACAAGCCGAATGGGATGCCAGTCAACGGTCCACCCCAAGGGATAATCAATAGCGGGTATTTGAGCTCAAAGAGATGATCAAAAAGGCTGAACACTTGAGAGAGGTACTAAATGCACAACCTCCCATCAAAACGGGAAAAACGGAGGCAACGAACTTCATCACATTTTCTGACAAGGACTTGGCAAGGTTACAATGCCCTTACAACGACACATTGGTGGTTACTTTGCGCGTCAAGAACTTCGACACCAAGGGAGTTCCTGTGAAATAATGTACTACGAGACATTTAAACAACTAAAATTGGAGGACAGAGACTTGGCATTACAACATCTTCCTTAGTCGGCTTTAACTCAATGCCAAAATGGCCGGTGGGCAAGATAATTCTACCAGTCAAGGTAGGAACGATGACGAAACAGGTGAAATTTTGGGTATTGAGAGTCCCTTCCACTTACAACATAATCTTGGGAAGAGCATGGCGTGGCATCAACCTACCATTAAGTGTTACGTTTCCCTAATGAAACCGGAGTGATTGAAGAAGTTTTAGGGGACCAAATCACGTCAAAACAGTGCTTTGTCATAGTAAACGACTGCCAAGCTGCGAAAGGGTTTGTACAGATGGTAAAAGAGCCAGAAAGCAACGAACAGCGGAACAGAAGGCAATGGAAGACTTGGTAGAGGTAAGGATAGATGAAAAGAACCCAGACAAGTTCTTTTTGCTCGGCTCATCTCTGTCCAGCACCGAGAGAATAGAGATCATGAAATTTTTAACCTCTAACATCGAAGTGTTCGCCTGGACGCCGTATGACATGCCTGGCATTGACCTTAATTTCATCTGCCATCAACTTAATGTCCACCCAACTGCCAGACCAGTTATACAGCGAACTCGCCGATCGGCACTCCACCACGCAGAGATAGTAGCAAAGGAAGTGAGAAACTGGCTGGAGGCAGGAGCAATCAGAGAAGTACACTATCATAGGTGGATTTCTAACACTGTAATGGTACAAAAAAAGAACGGCAAATGGCGCGTTTGCGTGGACTACAAAACAGTCAGCAAAGCATGCCCAAAGGACAGCTTTTCCCTACCACAAATAGACCAACTGGTGGACCTAATAGCAGGGCATAACCGACTTAGCTTTCTTGATGTGTATCATGGTTACCATCAGATCGCTATGTATGAATCGGATCAGGAGGTCACGTCATTTACAACAACCAAAGGACTATACTGGGCCTAAAGAACGCTGGGGCTACATTCTAACGGATAATCACCAAAATATTTGAACCATTGTTAAGCAGAACAATAGAGGCTTACATAGATGATATGGTGGTCAAAAGCAGAGATGAGAGGGACCATCTCAACGACCTAGATGAAATGTTTCAAATTTTGAAGTCCCACAAGTTGCGTCTTAACGCAACTAAGTGCGCATTCGGCGTAGGGTCAGGCAAATTCCTGGGCTTCTTAGTGACCAACCAGGGTATAGAAACCGATCTCTTTCAGATCAAAGCCAATCCGAGATCTCGAGAGGCCCAACACAGTCAAAGAGGTGCAGCATCTCACTGGCCTGTCGGTTATCAGACAAGTGTCGACCATTCTTCCAGGCACTGAAAGCCAAGTTTAAGTGGGATGATGAGTGCGACCGCGCCCTGAAAAGCTTGAAAGACTACATGACCTCTCCTCCGTTGTTAGTAACCCCAGTACCAGGAGAAAAGTTCTTTTTGCACTTAGCAGTTTCCCAGCATGCAGTTAACGCGGTGTTGGTAAGAGCTGAGGGAATACAACACTTGCCAATCTTTTATGTGAGCAAGACATTACTGGGCACTGAAACAAGATACCTGCAATTGGAAAAGTTGGCCTTAACTTTGATGATGGCCTCAAGAAAATTGTCGCACTACTTCCATGCTCACACCGTGATTGTCTTAACAGCCTTCTCCTTAAAAGCCTTGTTTGAAAGGGTGAACATTTCAAAACGAGTTTTGAAATGCACAGCGGAGTTAGGGCAGTTCGACATTAAGTTTCAACCAAGAACCGCAATAAAGGCCCAGGCTTTGGCAGACTTCGTAGCCGAGTTCCCACCAGGCAGTCATCATGTTTACCCAATCGATTTGACCGAAGCAACCGAAAGAAGGGGGGATAGTGCCGCAGGAATGGTGCAGCTCCCAAAACAGGACGCTCAACTAAACAGCAGGCCATCCAGCCCTGAAGAATGGGAAGAAGGAACAGACTGCAGCATTGTCAGCAAGGACTCACCCAAAAGTA